CTCTTTTATTGTTGTTTTTAATGTGACATTCTCTCACTGTCTGTATGCACTTTGAGATCTTCTTTGTAAAATGTAAAGTGCATTATAAATTAAATTTATTATTATTATTATTATTCTGCGCTGCAGATGGGTTAACTGCGTTAAAAATTTTAATAATCAAATCATTAAATCATTCAATTTTAATCAGATTAATCATGATGATGGATTAATCCGCGTTAACCCGTTAATTTTGACAGGCCAAATATATATATATGTATGTATATATATATATATATATATATATATTATAATATAATATATATTTTTTTCCTTTTCTTTTTTTCCCCAAAAATAAAAGAAGAGACAGTGTCTGTGGATGTCTGCCATTTCCTCTGTCTCTCTCCTTCATTACAGATCAATAATTATGATGTCACCCCGAAATATGATATCTCGGCATTTGCCACTGAGGTGACGCCCATAGTAGACATTTTGGCTCCTGAAATCAAGGAACAGCACCTCATTCTGGAGTCACTGCGAAAGTTTTCCTATATTGGTAAGTAATATGCCTTCTTCTGAAATGTCTGATGTGATTGGGATTTAAAATTTACAATATAACTTTTTTTGTTATAGTACATTTATATTACAATTCTGACCACTGAAAATGTTTTAATCTGCAGTTACAATTACCAAACATTAGAGCCCAGTCTTAACAAAATGGTTCAGTCACCTTTGCAGCTCGTGTACACGCCAGCGGCCTCCCGTAGCCCATGAGAAGGAAAAGCGTGTGGATGCAGAGCCTCGGACTCGGGGGGGGCAGACAGCAGACTCTGCCCTGAAGTCGATGTTTAGTTCAGCTCTGGCTTTACACTCTGGGTTTGTGTCACCCTAACAGCTAAAGGAGATAAGTCAGGAACCAACATAGCTTTGGCCTTCAACAAAATCTATGAGAAGATGAGCGCCATGAGAACTCGAAATGAAAAGGCGTACAAGGAGGTGCGGAACGTCATCATCATCTTCACTGATGGTAACATTAACCGACGGCAAAGTGCTGATCAAAAGATCACGTTTAAATCACACCACTGTCAGGACGTTCTAAGAAAACTGCTTCTGTTGATCAGTTTATAATAATAAATATGACAAGATGTAATTTTTCAGTTTTGCAGAAAATTAATTTCATTAACTATTAAATTATTTTTTGCAAAATGCATTCTTTATAAAAAAAAAACACATTTTCTATTTAGCTGATCCGATCATAGATCTTCCAGAAGGAGTAAAGACAAGCACACACCTTCTCTGATGTCTGTTCGCCAGCCTTTCGCTGTCACGCTCTATGCTTGTAAGAGTCACATCTTCTCAGATGTCTGTCTGCCAGCCTTTCGCTGGCACGCTCTATGCTTGTAAGAGTCCATGTCATATCGGAGATCTTAGCTGTGCGTCGGGGAGGAACAAAGGGAGTGACATGTTTGTGATAAATCTCAGGGTCGCCAACTCACACGCATCTGGCGTGACACTCACACGTTCTGACTCAGGCTCACACAAGAAATCTCCCATCAAATCTATATTATTCCATTATAAACCTAAAATTACCAACATCAAAAGTCTTGGGATAGTTTGCACACCATGCAAACTGTTTACAAGGTTTATTAAACTGTTGCATGCATGTAAAT